AAAAGTCTCACAATAAGTGGATAACACTGACAAGTTCCAAGAGAAGGGTGTACTTCCTCTTATTCAAAATATAAGATAAACTTTATTTACTTATGTTTTTCAATAAATTAGTTAAAATCAGTATAAAACAATAAATATACAAGGCATGCATTTTTTTTTTGTCAAATGTACCTTTATTAATAAAAAGAATAAGTAAAAGATGTAATGAATGAATCAAAGAGGAAAGAGAATATATGTTAGGGGTAAAATTCGGAAAAAACTTATTAAATACTTAGACAAAAATAAATGTTATCTTATAAAAAACTAAGCCCCCAACAAAGTTATCTTATTTTTGAACTGAAAGGAGTATTTCTCTAGTCATATTCGTAAGGCAAAGAAAAATATTTTTCTTAATCTTATTTATAAGTCACGTTATTAAATTTTTAGCACTTCAATTTTGTTCTCATTTTTTATGTAGTGGATGGTTTTTTTAAAGATGTGTATATTAAATATGAGTAAAATTAAAAAATATTATATTTTAATAGAGAATTAACGTAGTTTAAAATTTTTTTAATTGGTGTAAAATATGTTGAAAATGTCCTATTTAGGATCAGAAAAGTAATCACTAAAGAAAGAATGCCTTGTTGGCTCCATAAAAGTTTTTCAAGCATACCAATATTGATAATACTAGAGGAAAGGAAATGCTAATCACGAGATGCTCCGTTTCCGTTCTCATCAGTTTAAAATCTTTAAAATTCTCAAAATGTGACCCCTCCTATTTATACTTACATTTGCCCTGGTACCAACCAAATCCTGTTTTGTGGAAGACCCGTTTCTCGGGAAACATGATATTCCATTATCATCCAATAAAGACCAGAGTCTCTGGCTTTGGCACTTTGGAAGCCTTGCAGTTGCAGACTATGAAGGGCTATGGAATTGAAAACACTGAAGCATTAAAAAGATTCTAGAGAGAGAGAGAACATTCTCTAGAATTAGTGTCTTCGTCAAATTCAAAGTCCATGTTATTTTTCCTGAGAAGTGGAACCGATGGCTCAACTTTTAATACATGCCCATGAGTTTAATTATTTTATTCATGCTATTAGCATTAATAATTTAATTTAATAAATTTACATTTGATCACACATTGGGTTTGCCTTACAAGTAGTTCTCTCGTCTTCCAAATCTCATAGCGTGACTTGCATTTCCGCCAATGCTTCTATCAGTTCAACCTTGCAAAGCTTTCAAGGTCAAAAAAAAAAAAAAAAACCTTGCAAGGCTTTCAGTGGAACTGACGAAGCCTTCGTTCTTCAAGATACTCATCAATGATTTCTCCAACCGCTTGCTTGTACCCATCTTCCTTATATCCTTCAAATTAGCCATTGCATAAAATTTCCTCATTAATCTCCCAAGGTTCATGTCTGTGTTATGTATTTTCTCTATTTGTTAACAGCAAATCCCACCAGCTTTTATCAACATGTTCGGTCAAGGCATTCCAAAAAAACGATTCTTGAGGCTTTTGGTGAAACTGTACGAGTCAAGGTGGAAAAGATTCGAAAGAGATCAGTAACTTCAGTAATGAGTAATAATTTGTGAAAGCTAATATTTGGAACTAGGTGACTTTTTACTCTTCAAATATTACCCAGATGAGTCAAAGTTCAAGGTTACAGTCTATGGGGAAAACATGCTGTGTGAAGCAGTTCATTAATGGAGCTAGAGAGAGGTGTTCTGAACCAGTGAATGGTAAAGAAGATCGGAGAAAAGTAGAAGGAAGAAAAAGGAAGCAGGTTGATAATGAAGGTTTCATAGAAGCAAAATGCATTAAGAGTGAATTTGATTCAACTGAAGCAATTAATATCGATTCTGATTCTTCTGATGATGATGATGAAGAAATGGTAAGCTTCATTTATGAATTGCATTTCATATTGATTTTCAAGCTGACAGCTATATTAATATATATATTTGCTTTTAATGTAATTTTCATCACATATGCAAGTTTCAAACATATATATATATATATATATATATAGTCGAAGTGTTTTAAAGTGACATATGATTTGTCACGTCAAAAACCTTAACGCCAAATTAAACTGAGTACAAAGAAAACATTTTTCTCTTAGCATGAAAGTTTCGCCTTTTGTTTAAAATCTAAGGAGGTAATAGTGAAATGAGGATATCTAATCCACCTTACGAACAGGCATAAAAAATTTACACAACGTTCAATTGTTGATTATTTGATGCAGTGGCTAGTCACATGAGAAAGTCAATAAGCAAACAGGAACAAATATCACTAACAATCGAACAGTTCAACAAGAGAAGCCAAAACAACAGGACAATATTGGTTCCTGGTTATGACCAATTACAATTATCGTCTGAGAATCCTTTTTTTAAAGTTCAACTCCGTTTGCATATGTTGCTGGTACTGCTCTGGTAAGAAAGTCTTGATGTGTGTGTGTGTACAATATACACACACACAAATATATATAAAACACTTTCTTAGTGTATACTTTTGCTTCATGTAGACGACTCTCAAATTTTTTCCCATAAAAGCCGTAAAAGAACATAAATGTAACATTTCTTTCAGTTTTCATGTTGAACACTCCGTGTGAATATTGCAAGAAAATAATGCAATGATTTGACTGAAATCAACTTTGAGAAACCTGTCACAGGTTTATGTGGAACTATATATCAGCATAATTCTTGTAGTGTATTGTCTGTAACAAATGGTTTAATCCTGCGAGTTTGTTCGTGACTGTCATAGAAAATACATCAATCTGATGACAATGTTCCATGTTTGGTCTTATGCATGCGCATATGCTGTGCAGCACGTACCGGCAAGATTCGTCAGTCGACATATGAAGAAGGAAAGCAAAAAGGTAAGGATTGAGATATCCCAGAAAACTTGGAATATGAAGCTTAACGTGATCGAACGTCAATGTGGTGCCCAAGCAGCGACAATAAATCATGGATGGAAGAGATTTGTGGATGAACTTCATCTGCAAATTGGAGATGTTTGCTTTTTTGAATTGATCAAAAGTGATATCCTGATTTTGTGTTCAATGTTCACGTTTGTAGATGGGACCGTGAAAAGGCCAAGTTTTGTAAGATTTTCTAGTTACTAGATTGATTAATTGTTGTGACATGTGGTGTTATCGTTCTTAAGCTAGTATGGTTTGTTTCCAAATATAAGACTTGTCTGATTTGCACAAACACCCAACAAATACCAATTTTAACAGCTACAGAACAGACTATACAGAACAGAGAAATGTAACTGTCAAGGCAGTTTATCATAAAAAATGGGTTGCTCTATGGAAGATGAAGGCATATACAGATGTTCTACACAACTGCAATTTGTAAATCACAACAACACAAGTATGAGACTTAAAGTCTCCAGAGATAAATGTAACATGTAAGTCATCTGCAAAGATACAAAACATTACAAGCAAAATAGAGTCATGTCCCCTATTATTGAAATTGGGGTGAGGAAAACATTACAAATATATAAATAGTCCCCACAAAAACCATTAACTCAAAATGACATGACCTACCTTCAAAGCTCAGATAAAGGATGTTAAGGTCCCATCGTTTGTGTCCAAGAAATAGTGCCATTTTGTAACCAATACTGAATATAGCACAACGCTTCACAAGAACAGCCTCAATAATAGAATATATTCTGTCAGCTAGGGATTCAAGCATAAACTTAAAGGTGCACAAATGGTGGAAGAACAAGTGATGGAAGAATTTTTTTTAAGGAATCCACTGTGGTTGCAACTCCAAATATATTATCATTAGCACATGTTTACCCATTCACTGCTTGAAACAGAGGAAGAAAATGAAGCCTGTTGTAAAATCATCCAAGTGAGAGGCACCATTGTACAGGGATATTCAATCACTAGATACAATCTAAGCGTTATTCACTATGACAATATGCACAAATCTATTACACAACATACACGGACACATATTTACAAAGAAATACTCAGAAGATGCTTAAACATGGCTTCACATGGGGTATAAAATCAGATAACACCGTCCTAGAGCATCTTTCCAATTATTGATTAGAACCAGGGGCTTATTGTAGTTTCCCTGTTCTCTATATCATGATGCTAAGTTCGCTATATCAGCCGACTGCCAAAAGATAGCATATTAAAGAGAGAAAAATGTAATGGGCACAATAAATGTAGATAGAATCAATTAAACATAAGAATGTAGAAGCATCAAAGCTTTCAGGCAACCAGCAATCCCATTTTTCACTAAAATTTCTAAGGATGATAGATACCAACATGGCAACCTTGCAATTCCAGAACAAGACTAAGCTCTTCAAATGTCAAAATGTCATCAACAAAATCCATGTTTTCTCTGCCACCCATCACTCAACCAAAAACTTATCAGAAATCTATTTAAAGTGATGTTACCGTCATTTAACTTATATGCTAAACAAAAGCAACTAATATAAATTGCATCTCACAGAATTGATAGATGCCTATTTCAATTATAATGATATTAGCAATCAAAGCACTATAGGGTGCAAAAACATCAAATAACTAGATCTAAGAAAGTTGATTTAATAGCTTACTGGTAACGACCAACCCAACCAATAGCTGTCAAGGGGTACTTCTGTTCAGAACAGGAAAAGATCCAATTTAGTTGGCAAACTGGGTTCTTCACTTCATCTGGCAGCATTGCAGCATGCCAGAACCCATTGTCGTTTTTCAACAAAAACACCGGCATTTTTATCTTTCAAAACATCTAGCAGCAATAGTAACATGACTCTTCAATATCTTCTTATTCAAGAATTTGAGAATATAAAGAAAAAAATCTCATAATTGTGTTGCCTAAATCTTATTAGAGTTATGTCAACAGTTCATGGGACAGGCAGAACCTGCATAAGAGCTCAAAGTCATACAAGCAAATTGAGAATCAGCTCAGGAATTATTACATTAATGAAACAAGGAGGAGAAAGAGAGATAAAGATATCAACTCCAGCACGTCTTGTGGCAGTTAAACGGCAAAAAGAAAGTGGGAATGAGAACACTTCTATCCCCTCAGCAGCGACCTTAGATATTGACAAGAAAGCTTTGATCTTTCCCTTCCTGAGACCATCTTGATGTTTCGCCTTCTTTTATTTCGTCCGGTAAACTGTTAGAATGGCCTGAAGAGGAAGCTATTGCATGGCGAGTCACAAAATAAGATGGAATGACTTGACTGAATCACCATATAATGTCGTCACTTTGAGAGTAAAGAGTGCTTCACAGGATTAAATCCTCCAGCAGGGGTTTCGAAAAAGAGAATGAGAAGGTTCAGATTGTCCTATTTTTGTACCGCGGCGTCGTTTTATATGCACAAGAGAGACACTGTAAGCGAACTGAGGGAAGCTGCTGGGGTCTGGAACTCTCGATCTTATACTGCCAAGTGCCAACGGGGGAAAATGGCCTCAGAACTCGAGTGCGGGCAACTAGACACGTGGCAAAGGCATCTAAAATAATGAAATAGAGATAAAAATAATCAGGCCCGAAATAATAAAGGAATATTTATTTTGAATTTAATTTATTTTCAGTTAAATTAAATACTCTCCACCAAAGGCATCGGTTCCCGAAAGAAATACATTTGTAAGTAACTCTAACGTCCACGTGGTAATGCTCTTCTAAAACTATTTTTATTTATAAACCCATCCCATTCATATGTAAAAAGTTCTCTTATCAACTTTGTAAATATTATTAGATCCCACAATGGTTGTGAAAGTTCCTTTCCCTCCTCAGTAGCTTGATGCTTTGAGGCGATATTCAGGGGTATTTAGATATATTAAAAAGTACTTTTGAGAAGCACTTTTCACAAATCGAAATAAACTCATCCTATATATTTATCTCGTAGACCGTAAAATCACTTCTGAAACTATAGTTTAGTTTCATCCAAATACCCCTCAAACGTCAAAGGGTATATGGATGTTATCATCAGACATTATTTACAAAAACAATATATTTGTAAGCAAGCAAAAAAGAAGTAGGTGGAATATAGGACCATTTTCAAAACATATATGAAAAAAATCAGAAAGAAATCGAAAAGGAGGTTAAAGGAAAAAAGTAGAAAGAAATGGCGGAGGCCAAACATGAGAAACAAAGTCATGGCTGAAGAGATGTGCGAGACAAACAGTGATGGTGAGCCAAGAAAAGAGAGATATGGGAGAAAATTAAAATAAAAGAGAAACCAGCCTAAATATATATAAATATAATATAGAGGAGGGGAGGAGGAAGAGACATTTTAAGTTCGTTCAATCCTATGCAAGGTTCAAAAAATCGAATCAGACTAGCCGGCGGTTGCTGGTTCGGTCTGGTTTAGCATCAAAACTGGAGAAGAAGCATACCAGAACGACCCGCTTGGAACAACCCGTGAGGAAACCAGATAACCCGCTGGGTTGAGGGGTGGTTCATCCACGGCTTTTCGTCGTACTTCTCAGCTCGTCACCATCATTTATTGTTGCTCCTTCTCTCTGTCATTTCGATAGACTCTCCTTCCTGCTCACTAGATCCTCTTCGAAGACCCAATGCGTGCAACGAAGATAATGAAGGAGAGCATGTCTTCTTCAAGCGATGTCCCGCTTTACTCTGGATGCTGCGTTTCTAATTGAGGCAGAGATAATTCCTCCACGCTAGCAAGCAACCCAAAACGCAGAGAGAGGAGTAAAGACGGGAGGGTGTTGATTGATCATTGATGTGATGTTGTGTGCCAGTTAAACATTTAACATGAGTGCATGTGTTGTTCATATTAAATTAGTATTTTTTATAATCAAACACAAATGTTTTATACATTTTAATTAAAAGTATTATATACACACAGATGAATAAAATCAGATATAATATTTTGAATTTCAACCAATTAATCTATATGATTTCAACTAATTTACATAATCAAACATTATATAATATATAATTATATACATAATCAAATATATAATCTCTCAACACCCTCTCAACTATTTTATTAATGTTAGTTTGGTACAATTAAATATTTAAACTATTTTTATAGTTTTTTTTATATTTTATTGAGTGATTATTATTTCAGAATGTTATCATATTTGGTTATTGTCAATTAAATTGTATTATTTTAATATGACTGGTCTGATCCCGATTTGACTTATTAACTTTTAATTCATTGTCCTGACCGGTTCACTGTTCGGTTCGTTTTTTGTTCCTTGATCTTATGAGATTGAGGGAATTTTTTAAAAAAATTTAAAAATTAATAAAAATCAATACAAAACAATAAAAAAATAAATTTAATTAAAGAATTAATATGGTTAATTATGAAGTAAGTTTATGGAGGTTACCTAGTGATTTCAGTTTTATTGAGGCGAGCGAATATTTAACCAACCTAGCAAGTTATAGAAATGTTAACTCAGTTATATTTCATGATTAATGAATTGGACTTTGAGGAAAAGAAAGTGACAACGAGGAACACTTCTAACTTCTTTGCAGTAACATATGTTTGTTTGGTTTTTTTTTTTATGAAAATAAATTTTTATTTTAAAAACAAAAAAAAAAAACTTGTTTAGTAATTTATTTTTAGTTGATTGTTCTAAAAAATAATAATAACATTTTTTTGAAAATTAAAAAACCAAAATAACTTTTAGATTCTTTTTTTTTTTCTTTTTTTTAATTTTTTGTTTTGAAAAATTGGAGAAATCTTCTTTTTTTTATCACTATTAGCGATGGCTACCACATGTCAAATGTTATTTTTTTTACTTTCTTTCAAAATAATTATTTTTTTTTTCCAAATCTTGTTTAAAAAAATTTTTATAAAATTGATTGAAAAAAAATAAAAAGAAGAAAAAATAACAGGCCCATAAATATTTTATAAGAAAGTTTTAATCTCTGGGAGCCCATAAATATTTTATAAGAAAGTTTTGATCTGGGGTTCTCTGAGATCATTTTCGTGTTTTTGCTTCTTTTATATCTTTAGAATTTTCAGGCTCTATTTATGCTTCACAATTTCAAATAAACACAAGTAAACACATTTTCGGGTTCTTTTTGCAACGCTTGCAAAAAGAGGCCAATATTGGCTGACGTTTGTGCCAAACAGGATCGAAAATGAATTAAAACGTTATTTGAAGAATTTAAAAGATAATAAGACAATAATTTCTAACTTAACAGTTTTCATGTTTTTTCGATTGAGTTTGATTTGGAAAGTGCGGTAGATTATTCTCATTTTCTAGGGTTTTCCCTGGTTTCTCTTCACTGAAATACATTTTTTTAAGACTAAAATATACTTTTAGTCCTTTAACTTTACATAAAGTTTCATTTTAGTCTCTTAACTTTAAAACTTTTAGTTCTTTAACCCTAAAATCGTCAACAAAAAACAATGATACTGAGCTCTTGAATATTAATAAAACACTACTAAATGCTATAATATTAAGTTTAATTTTCAAAACAATCATGATTGTTACAAAAAATAATCATTTAAGACTAACAATTTTAGGGTTAAAAAACTAAAAGTATATTTTTTAAAGTTAAGGAACCAAACTGAAACCTTATATAAAATTAAAGAATCAAATGTATACTTTGCTTTTTTTCAATTGTATGTCATTTCATAATTAAAAGGCTAAAAATCAGTGTTTCTCAAGCTTAATGCCTTTTTCTTCATATTCAATTTCAATCCTGAACATTCTAATATAACCTATTAATCAGTCACAAAACAAGGATTCAAATTGTTTGCGCAGCATTCACCAACGCAGTATGAAACTTAAAACTTAATTAAAGACAATTAATTAATGGGCCATCCTTCATAAGGCTCTCAAAAATCACGTCCTTTATCAAGAAACGTTGGAACATACATCTTCCATAAAAAGATTTATCACTCTGCTGTATGTAATATAATATAAGTTACTTAAACACATTCTCACATAAAAATGAATATATTAAATTGATAAAAATTTCTAATTTATCCTCATTAAAGTTACACATCTCTCCTTCACATTTACAACTCATTCTCATATCTCTCCTTTTCTCTCTTTCAGAAAAAATTAAATAAGAATAAAATTAAAAAAACAAGCATTAAATAAACATACTACAAGTAACTTACATTTATGCTAAAACTTCCCATTATGGGGACCAGAGTGGCACATTTGAACGGATTCGCCGCATGGGAAATGAAGTTTTGAAGGAAAAGAGAGAAAATACAAGATTGCCGCAATTGCAAACGTTGAACCCCCAATCAAATTATCTTTTAGTACTTTGCAAGAAGGGCAAAATGAAAATCATTTAATAACCCTCTGACTTGTACTATGGACCACAAATTTCTTTTAGACCCTATATATATTGGAAATGAAAATGATCATTAATAACTCTGACTTATACTATGGCCCAAAAATTTCTTCTAGTCCCTATATATATTGGGGATCAGAGGTAAATCCACATAATTATTTTCCTCCACTCTACTTTATGTGCATTCATTATTATCACTTACGTTACAGTCACAAATACACGCTAACTCTTGTAATCTGAGAATCTCACTTTGTTGGCTCTTCATCTGATCTTGCCAACCTTATTTCATGGCTTCTCAATTCCTGACGAATAAACAGAAAAGGAAGCCTACATTCTTCAAGGTCTTGATCCGTGATTTCTCTACTCGCCTGGTTAGTATAGTATCCTCGATCGATCTCCCCTCATTTCATTCTTCTCTTTACTGTTTTATCAAAGCTTAATCCTCAAACAAAATGAGACATTTTCCTATTAACCTCCAAGCTATATTCGCAATTTTGTTTCTTATTCTCTTTTTAGGATATATATTTATATATATATATATATATATATAGTATCATGGGTTTGACACTAAACATAATCACAATTAGTTGATCTCTTGTTCATTTCTTTTCACGTGACTACATTAAAGTTCAATCCTTTTCTTCAATATATGTATTGATCCAACCCTTTCCTTCAATGTATGTGTGTGTGTGTGTTTAAGTTTAAGTGTATCTGTACTTTTCCCTTTAGGTAGGAGGATAAGAGTTAACGTCAAGATTTTAACCTTTATATGTTCTTCTCTGACATATAAACAGCAAATCCCACCAGCTTTTATCAAGGAGTTTGGAAAGGAAGAGGTGCCAAAGAAAACAACACTTGAGACTTATAATGGCAAATTTTGGGAAGTTGGAGTGGAAAAGCTCGGAAGAAAATTTTACTTTGATAATGGCTGGGATAACTTTGTGAGAGTTAATAGTCTGGAAAATGGGGATTTCTTGCTGTTTAAGTATTTTGCAGATTATTCAAAGTTTAACGTCAAAATATATGGAAAAACTTGCTGTGAGAAGCAATTGAACGTTGTTGGGGAAAGATGTTCTAAACCTCTAATGGCAAAGAAGAAAGAAAAGAAAAGAAAGAGGGAATGAAGATGATGATAATGCAAACAAAGATGGGGAATCCAAAGCTTTCAAACGTAGCGAGATTGGACTTGATGCAGAAACTCTTCTCCACTTTTTATGATGGTGAAGAAATTGGTATGCTTCAATATAGTGATGTATCAGTCTTTATGTTATTATTTATATTTATTTATTATTTACTTTATCAACTGAAACACATATAAACTAATTACGTTGTTTGTGTTATTTATTCAAAAATTAAGAAGGTACCCAGAAAAGAAAAGCACAAACTGTTGAGGTCAAAAGGAATGAAAAGTATGGCGGCAGAATGCCTCCAGATTATCATAACCATATCGAATTCGAATCTGAGAATCCGTTCTTTCAGCACAAACTCATGCCTACAACTGCCAACCAGTATCTGGTAAGTTCTTTAATTTTTCTACTTAACTTTACCGCACACATCTATCACAAGTAAGACTAAAATACTACTTCTGGTCTTTTAATTCTTAATATAAGATTCTAATATATTTTATCCGTCATATTTATCTATTTTCTTAAAGTAGTCTTGCTCATGTTAAAGTTTCACCAAATAATAATTTTTGTTCATACACATAATTAGTAAGGGTATTTCAGGAAAGATGATATCTATTTATTACAAGTAACTAGCTTAATTAATTTTCTTAGTCTAATTAAATTAGTCAACTAGCTTTTATATTAATGACTAAAAGTAATAGCGTATTTATTACGTACGTAAGTATTTTTCTATATTTTATATTCATGGCGAGACATTACATGCACAAGGATTACTTTTGCATTATTTATTCTTACTGGGAACACACGCACGTATATAATACTTCATATTTTAAAAAACCACCTGTTTTAGTCTGCATGCCAAGGAGGAGTGTTTAAGACATTTCATGTTTTTTCTTGTCCATTTATGTTTGCTGCGCAGTATATACCCAAAGGTTTTTTCAAGGAACGTATGAAGGAAAGCAAAAGGATAAAGTTAGAGTTATCAGAAAGAACATGGAATATGGAGATTTATGTGCACGAACGTGAACGTGATGCAAAACGAACAAAGGACGCCAGAGTGGTTAAGGGATGGAAGAGATTGGTGAATGAACATCATTTGGAAATTGGAGACGTCTGCTTCTTTGAAATGATTGCAAGTTATTATGATTCTGATTGTTCTGAGTTTCTTGTCCATGTTTATAGGTGGGATCAAAAGAAAGGAAAGTTTTCCCAGATAATTTAGATGTAGATGTTGCTTAGTTATTTCGATGACTACTAACTAAGTTAATTTGTTCATTTTTGGTTTTATGGTTATGAATTATGAACTTTGTGAGCCGTGATCATGTGATTGCGCTGGTCAAAAAAAAAAAAAAAGATCACGTGATTGCAATGTGGATTTGGATTTTGGTTTGCTTTGTAATTTTCTTGATTCACTGGCCTGTATATATACAACATTGTTTGTGCGTGTAGCGTATGCATATATGTATGTATATGTGCCTGTGATATGTGAATTAACTGAATTTTCTGTTTATGTTTATACTTCATAGTAGTTGCTGCTTATGTTTTTTTTTATTTGTTGGGTATTATATTTTAGTAGTGTTATAAGGCAAAAGTATATTTTCTTTTAACCTTATACAATGTTTCAATTTTTTTTTGCCAATATAAAAGGTTTCAATTTACTCTATTAACTTTTAAAAGTATATTCTTTTCTCCCTAAAACCTTTAACAAAAAATAATTATTTTAAAATCTTGAATGTTGATAAAACATTTTAAAATGTTAATATATTAATTTTAATTTTCAAAACAACCATTATTATTATGAAAAAATAATCATTTAAAACTATTATCTCTGGTCTTTGATATAAGAACTAATTAGAGATTGAATTTGGTTATAAATATAAGATGTCAATCCATTTTGTTTCAAAAAATTATAATGTTTTCTTCCAAGTATCCTATTAATTTTAAGGTGTTCCCATCAAGAAACAGTATAAATTCAATGCATATAATTAAATAGGACAGTTTAAGAAAATCAACATACATTTGTTACACTTGATCAACTTCACTAAAATCTTGTATTAAATTAAAGGATCAAATTATAAACATAATTGAGGTTCTTGTTTTGTAATATTATAATATAATGGATCACCAATTTTAATTTTTTCATGTAATCAGCGCTAAAATTATTTAAATTTATTGTTGAGAGTAATATTAGCCTGTTATAATTAATTTTATGTTTCGCTGATTTTTCCCCCCAACCTAACGCGGGGATGGGCTAGTTAGTCAAGGTGATGAAAATATGAAAACGAAAGGATATACATAATTCTATCAAGCTAAGTTTTGATAGAATAAGTTTTGTAGCCGCAAAAGATGTATATATGTGAAAATGCAAGGACTGGAAAAATAAGTTTTGTAGCCTCAAAAAATATATCCTCTTTTTCCCATAATAATAATAGGAAAGAAACTTGGGGACGGTTTGAAATGAAAATAGGAAGAGTTATTGAATTTTAATCATAATAAATATACCTGCTGTTACTATTTTCACTTTAATTTGTTTCCTATTTTCAAGTTCAAGATCCCTGTCTAATAATTATTACCATATTAAGAAACATGTACAGTAACGAAGTAATTAAGGAAACAATTCAACTGAATTAATGGAGGTAAAAAAATTCAACACTTTCTTTTTTCTCAAAAAACGTTGGAACTTTTCATATGATATATTCTCTCTCTTGTCCCCATGGACACCTTTAATAAATTCGTGGTCCCTAATAGAAGTCATCAATTAGGAAGTTAAGTAACACTCCTTTTCATTCTTACTGGACTATTGCAAATTAATAAAATAGAATTTAATTATTATTTTTTTTTGAGCAAAAAATAGAATTTAATTATAATTTAATATTTCTATGTGGCTCTTCAAATGAAGTGTTTTCCGCTATCTTTACCCTATTTATATATGCCAGTCATTTATACCCCATTCTCCCATGGCATGGACCCATGCCAATAAATGCATTTAATTTAATTTATAATTTTTTTTTACATTTTCCCCTAATTAAAGAAAGGATATTAAAAAAAATATGTTGCACATCTTTTTCCACCTATTTTTTTGTATTATTCTATAGGAATAAAGTAGGAAAAATATTGTTTTAATTAATTACCATATAAGTAAGTTATATTTAGAAACAAACTTTTTCCCCCCAAGTGACTCACATTTAAGATCAAAACTTCTCCATACAAATGACTTACTGAATGAGAACTTATCTCGGCTTTTAAGTTTCACTTGTTTTGATGTTTAAAAATCCAACCCTTTCCTGATATATACATACATATAAATATATATATATATATATATATTATGTTTCTAGCTAGTGTAAGTGCGAAATTTCAAGTTTTTAACAAATCTTTATATATGTTCTTGATCGATGTTGATATATATTTGAACATACAGAAAATCCCACCAGCTTTTATTAAAGAATTTGAAGAAGTGCCAACGAAAACAATATTTGAGACTTATTATGGTAACCAAACTATGGTTTCAGAAGTGCTTTTACGGTTTACAAAGTAAATATGTGGAAGAGTTTACCTCGTTTTGCCAAAAATGCTTCTGAGAAGCATTTTTAGGGGTTGCCAAACACCCCAAGAAGTCGAAGTGAAAAGGTTTGGGAGTAACTTTTATTTTCACAATGGATGGAAAAAGTTTGTGGAAGTCAATAATTTGGAAACTGGTGATTTCCTGATGTTCGAATATTTTGAAGATTATTGCAAGTTTAAGGTGAAAATCTATGGCAAAAGTTGCTGTGAGAAGCAATCAGATGTGGTTAATGGGAAAGAAGATAAGAGAAATGTACAAAAGGAAAGAAAAAGAAAGAGAGGGGAAGTGGGGGAAGAAGAAGAAGAAGAAGAAGAAGAATAAGAAGAATCCGAATCCAAAGCTTTTGAAAGGAATATAATTAGTATCGATTCTGACTCCTCTTCTTCTGAATCTGACGATGGAGAAAATGAAGTTGGTAAAAGTCAATTCATTTTTATCTTTATCTTATTATTGTTGTTGTTGTTGTTATTTGAACTAAAACATACATATTTGTCTTAATTAACATCAAGGTTGTTTGTTTTTTATTCAAAAATTAAGGAGGTATAGGGGAAATAAAAGCAGACTATAAAAAAATCCAAGAGGAAGAGAAAACACAATACGTTGCCTCCAGATTACGGTGACAAAATTCAATTCAGTTCAGAGAACCCTTTCTTTCAACTTGAGCTCAAGTATTCTACTGCCAATTTTTATATAGTAAGTTCTTATACATTCACTTCAACTTTACCTCACTATACATCCTTAAATCATTAATCAGTATCTTGTTCGCTCTAATTAATTCACTCTTTTGGAGAACCAAATCATATTAGCTGTCTGTGCTGTGTATTTTGTTTCTCACAAAATCTTTATTACAAGAAATTCTGGTGAGAACTGTAAAAAAGTAAACATATTTGAGTTTGTAATTTTTCAGGGTCTTTGTTGAAAATATTCTCGGTCAAAACGTTGAAAAAGCTGTTCCTACGAAATTCAGTTCTGAGGTGTTCTTTCTGTTTTTGGCGAAATATTTTCTGTGAGAATGAAGTCCTACTATACAATGGCTTTTGTCTAGCTTTAAAAAAAAAAAACAGTGATAATTTTCTGTTCTTTTTATTGTCCTCTTTCTGACTGTTGGTATTGATTATGAACATACAATGACTGAGTGATGAGTTGGCAGAAACAATAGTTGAGAAGATGATAAAGTTTTACACAGTTATACACACACCAAAGTATCAGTATTTTGGTTTAGAACCTTAATTCTCACCAATGAACTTTTTAATGGAGAATTCCCCCCCCCCCAATCTTTCCTTGTGCATATTTGATGACCGTCCCTTTTTTTTCATTTAATTTCTTTCTATTTCCTTTCTCAGTCACACACACTTATACACACCTTCCATGTTTAGTGTTAAATATGCTTTAATATTTGCTGTTTTGCAGTGTATACCCACAGATTTTCTCAGAAAACATATGAAGGAGGTAATAAACAAAATGATCAAGTCTCAAATATCCCAAGAAGTTTGGGATGTGAAGCTACTAGTGCCCAAACGTGTCCTTGACACCACTCACAAGGGAGAAGCGAGAGTTACTAGAGAATGGAAGAAAATACTGAGAGAGCATCCATTAGAAATAGGAGATGTTTGCTTCTTTGAAATGATCAAAAGTGATGATTTTGATGACTGTTGTGTGTTTCGTATTCATGTTTATAGATGGGACCGTAAGAAAGAGGAGTTTGTTAAGAAATTTAATTAATAGTTTTACTAATCTTGATCTTATTGAATATCGGTCATTTTGTTGTCCTCGTGCATCTTCTTTAACATTACTTTAACTTTGTAAGATGTCATTAGAATATGGATTTGGGTTTACTCTTTGGTTTGCAGTTTTTTCAGGTTGATTTGCTTAGCATGATGTGTGAGCTGTGAAACTAAATCTACTGCTATTTACATTTATATTTGTATAGTGTTCATGTATTCTTTTGGTCCTAAATATAAGTTTCATTTTATGGTATAAATTACTATAAAATAGATTTTATATTTACGACCAGAAGAGTATCATATTAACAAGCATTGTTGTTGGTGACAAAGTATATGAAATGTTTTTGTAACTAATTTATATTAGTTGGTGTGTTAGTAATCATGCTTGCACATATGCTTACATATTGCTGACCAATAAGGCTCTCAAATTAACAATGAAATTTGAATTCATGACTTTGTAAGATATCAATCAACTCCAATCCTTATCTATTATATCAACTTTTATTGGCTAAAAGTTTTTTAGAATAAAAATAAAGAAAAACAGTAGGATGTGAAAATAGAGATGCGATATTAGATATATCATGTTAATGCTTTATTTAATTTAATAAAAATATACATACTTTTGTGTCTCCTCTCAGTCACTCGCATTGTTTCCTATTTTCATATTGAGCTTTCGTCTACGATATCTTCTTTTAAAATGTACTATAGCCGCAAATCTAAGTGAATAAATATAGTAAATATATGTTGGCAAAACAATATATAGTCTTCTTATCCTGTTTATAGGGTGGAAAGAAGACTTTTTTAATCTTACTTATAGGATATTGAAAGAAATTTTTTGTATAAATATACAATTTTATCATTCATTTATTATTGTGTTAATTTTATTTATATGAATTATAATGTATATTAAATAAGGATAAACTTAAAAAATTATTGAATTTTAAATGAGAGTTAATGAAACTTAAGATTTTTTTCCTATATAAAATATATTAGAAGTAATTTATAAATAGGATGGGAGGAGTAGTAGATATATAAAAAAATATTTTTATAAAACAAATTTACTTATATTCGTTTGTTATTATTTTTATATCTAAATATCATTGTAGAATATTTTATAAAAAACCTTTTTTTTTTACCAGCAAAATATTTGATAAAAAACCTAAACTTTATTTTTTTAAAAAAATCATGCTCTGTGGGATAGCAAAATCTCAATCAGCCTAATTTCAGGCACACGACACGTTATTTCTAATTAACAGACACGTAGGCATACTCAGAAATCTGTTTATTTCCTTAATTAAAATTTTTCCGTTTTCTCCTTCCAAATCTTACAGTGATCTGCATCTTCTCGCCAAAGCTTCCATGGACAGAGCTTCACAATGGCAAAGAAAACGCAAGAAACCTTCCTTCTTCAAGATTCTGATCCAAGATTTCTCTACCCGCCTGGTTAGTATCCCCCATCTGATCTTTCTCGTTCCCTCTAATTTCACTAAAAATCGTCCACGATAATCAACATGCATGTTCTTGTTACCAGTTATTTTCCCCAGATTCTTCGTTATTTTGCAGTTCTTCATCTCAAAAGTAGTAATTTCAAGTTGATGACGATGATTTTGTTGTTAATAACAGCAAATCCCGCCAGCTTTCTACAAGGTGTTTGGTAAAGAGGTGCCAAAGAAAGCAATTCTTGAGACTTGTTATGGTAGGTCTGAAGAAGTGGAAGTGGAAAAGCATGAGAATCGATTTTGTTTCTGCAAAGGATGGAGTAAATTTGTCGAGGACAATAAATTAGAGAATGGAGATTTTTTAGTGTTTAAATATGTGTCAGATTTTTCAAAGTTCAAGGTCAGAATCTATGGCAAAACTTGCTGCGAGAAGGAATGTTATGATTCTGCACATGTTGCTGGAAAGAGATGTTCATCACAACCTGAGAAAAACGAAGATGAGAGAAATAATAATGTCGGAGATGGACAAAAAAGAAAGAGGGAAGAAGAAGAAGAAGAAGAAGAAGGAGGAGCATTGAAAACTCCAAAAAGGATTGAGCCACACTCTGATTCTGATATTGGCGACGAAGTTTCTGAAGATGAAACAATTAATATTGATTCTGATTCTTCTCAGCATCCTATCGTCGAAGAAGAAGTTGGTAAGCCTCTTTGCCTCTTTAACGTTCTCAATATGAACACTCTGAGACTAATTTGAAAGGGAAAGAAACTATCAACAAATACAGTTTCAGAAATTGTAATTATTTCAATTGTTTTTAAGATTTCAGAATAAAGTAGGTTGAATTTATATATTTTTCTCTGTGTGTGTATTAAATTATTCGATATCACCCCCCATATATTAGATATGTCAGATAAATTTGCAGATATTGAGAAAGATTTATATAAGAGGACTTGAATTTTATAAGAAAAATTATTTTTTCTTTTTTGACATTTAAGATTGAAGGATGGACTCAGCTAAAAATAACCAAAAATTGAGGTCAGAGATTATTTTAAAAATCGCAATATTTGCAGAAACAAAAGTTGTTATTCAAATCTAAGAAAAAGTTCAATAATTATTCCAGTAAAGTCTCAGAGAAATTGTATTTGTAGAGAGCAGGTACAATTTTATGATTTTTAAAATATAATTTTTCAATTAATAAACTGTACTTTTTTTGGTGAATATTAAACTGTACTTTATTATAGAATTAAGACTCCAAAATTGACTTGGTGCAGGTAATTCGAAGCAGCCAACGAGTGAAGAAGCCACAAGATTGCCCACTGATAACCAAACAGAATCTGAGAGTTCTTCCTTCCAAGTCAAACTCAGATCCTCAAGTATCAATAGCTATCTGGTAATAAGCTTTCATCCTCATTATCAGAAATTATTATAATTATAAATATATAATATCCTTGATTTTCTTAAAAATATCTCGGACCTTAATTAATGAAATTTTTAATCAGAAAAGGAAACTACAAATGATCTCTCTTTACTACAAAATCAAGAAAGCTACTTTTTTGTATAACTAAGAAATATATATTTCAATATTTAAGTCAAATTTCTTATATTCATTATTTCAGTCATAGTCAATTGGCCATATATCCTATTTTTGAAATATTACCATTAAGCATGAACCCACGCAAAAAGGATAAAACATATAGTTCATAAATATAAGGAACTTGACGTAGATATCTACCTTTCCTACCCTCTATATATAGACGTTGTCTTGTCTGACATATGAAGATATATGTGTGTGTGCGCGCGCGCAGAATATACCATTAAGGTTTTCGAGGAAATATATTACAAAGGAAAACGAAAGGCAGGAGATTAGAATAGAGATGACCAACAAAGTATGGGAAGTGGGTGTTCTAGTGTTTTGGGCAGACGGTAAGAAGGAAGCACTGACAGGAGCAAGGCTGACCCAAGGATGGAGGAACCTGGTCTCAGAATGTCGTCTCCAAATGGGAGATGTCTGCAATTTTGAATTGATCCAACCAACAGCTCATCATCAGCAACTTGTCTTTCGTCTTCGTGTTCTTCGATGGGATCCTCAAAACGACAAGTTTACTCAGATACTTTAGTGGCATCAGTATAAATTTTAGTATTTTAGATCCATCACTTCTGTTTCATGTGGAAGTTTGTAGATATATGAGGTCTGATCTGGATATTGTTTTAAGCATGTTTATGTTTTGTATCCTGAACGCATATGATATGACTGACATGAGCTAGTTATTAAAGATTGCATACTGATAACCAAGTAGAATTCAAATCAGAGAGTCCTTTCTTCCAAGTCAAACTCAAATGTTTAAGTATCAATAGTTATCTGGTAATTATAAGCTGTCATCATGCATTTAAATTATTATAATTGCAACTATTTAACATCTTTGATTTTTCTTAAAAATCTAGGTCCTTATTCAATAAAAAACTTTTCTTATTAAAAAAAATCAAGAAAGTTAATTTTTGTACAGCTGTGAAACACATATATAATTGAAGATAAATTTGAACAATATAATAAAAACTTTTTAAAATCTGATCTCATTTTAGTTTTGATTTTCTGAAATTTGAAACTAGTGTTTTTAGTTTTTAAAATTCACTCTAACTTTAAACGTTAGTTCCTGTAAGTTAAATATTGATAACGTGGCAGAAACACTGTTGGTTTTGATGAAGTGCTCATATGACTTCGACATTTTAATATATAATAGTTTATTTTTAAAATTTGATCTCACGTTGATTTTGATTTCTCAAATTTGATATCATGTTGATTTTGATTTCTAAAATTTGAAATTAGTGTTTTTTCCCTTAAAATTTACTTTGTCTTTAGTTGCCAAAAGTTAAATGATGTTAAATATTGCTGATCTAACACAAACACTGGTAATTTTGATGATATGACCATTTGATTTGGATATTTTAAAACAAAAAGGTGCCAACTTAAAACGACGCACTCCAACTGTGAAAAAACCAAAATAGAAAGGGAAGAGGAGTTAGGTCAAGAGGACTCACTAGTGCCGATGAAGTGTGGCGTGTAACCTCTTTACAAATTAATCTGTCCATTATATTCTTATAATTTTACTTAATTTTTAATTATATTTTTATATTTTTTCTTTTATTAGATTATATATAAATAATAACGTCAAGAAAATTAACGGCAAAGTATCCACAATAAAATAATAAAAGATCAGGAGTTGAATTTAAACTTTAAAATGTCAAGGAGATAATATGCAACGAATCCATAGTTTAGGAGGTTTGCATAATTTAGCTTTTTTTTTCTTTTTATTAGATTCTTACAGTTTTCCCAATTATAGTAATTAGTCCCATTTCATAATTTCTTAATTATTAGGATTGTTGTAAATATTGACTAAGTCACATGTAAATTTCTAAAATATACAAAATAAAAAAGATTTTTTAAAAATACAATAATGATGGAATAAAATTTCTTTATTATTAAAATAAAAAATTATTATACTATGTGGATCGTTATACTGAGACACCAGGAGCCTAATTAAATCTTAGAAAGCATAGTGGATTGGGAATATATAGAGGTTCGCTAGGACTGGGCGTCGGTAAGGGGAGTGGTCAAACATAGATAAAATAAGACGGTCGGCCTATCATCTCCCTATCCTCTTTTTGTACATTATACTCGTTGAGACTCATCAATGATCACCATTACTCTTCTTTTTATTATTATTTAAATTTTTATAATCACCCAATTCATCATTCCCTTGAGTGTAATCTACCCAAAACAAGAGTGCTATGGCTAAGAAAGGAGATGAAATTATAGGAAGTTGGAGATAATTAATTTTTCATTTATTGATTAGAATAAAAAGAAAATCACTCACCCGATCCTTTATACTATCTCTGGTACTAATTATACGACCTCGTTTGTAGACTATAAACTAAATCTTATAATTAGTACCAAAAGTAGTATTTCTTTATCCAACACGCCGTAAAAACTTCAAGAAGGAACAGATTTCATTAAACACGTTGGGAAGGGCCCCAAAATTAAGGGGCAGCACCAAGCGGCAGCTGACACCCGATCCCATTGACACTCGTCATGGATACACACATATATACAATGTTTCATTGATAGAGTACAGTACTAAGATCCATCGTGATTGTTAGAATTAAGATAATCTATGTTTTCTTTGGCACAAGATTGCACACTAATCCCAAGAGAGTACAAACTTAAATTTGTCAACATCGAAAAGACACAACAGACTGGCATGTAAGAAAGCCAAAAGCACTATTCTGAATGTCCTTGAAATGCTTCGGTGTATCGTCGCCCAAAAATCAACTGACAACAAGTGAAGCTAGCGCCATTAAAACCACCTCGAGTAGTATTCCCAGCATTCAGAATAGCACTACTGCTTTGTTTTGAAGATGATGGAGCACGTGAGGGCCCATCAATGTCGTTGCCTTTCTTGCCTTTCTTTTCTAATTCTTTCCACTCCCTGATCTGCTCTAAAACATCACGTGGAGGCTTTCCTCCTATATGTTCAACGTCGGAACTCAAACATATAATAGTTTTGTCGCTGAAGGGCTGACGAAAACGACATAGTTCAGGACCAAAAAGATCCACCCAAATGCCTCTAAAAGGATCACAGTGTAGGGTGATGGAATAAGACAGACCTGATCCCCCAGCAAGGCCTGTAACGAAATCAATTTCAGCCTCGTCAGTTTTGCTTGAGCAATAATGCAGCTGACCTTCTCTCTGATGAAATTTATCTCGGTACTGCCTTACGCACAGTCCTGGTTCGTCTGTTCGCCGTGTGAATTTCCCACTACGACTACGAACTTTAAATTTATGAATCACGTACAATTCTCTGTGATCTCTTTCAGTCTTGATCTCCATGTCCATTCTCACGGGATTACCTACACATAGGCCATCTTGGAGTGTGAAAAGCACCTTATCTTCTTTTGCTCTCCAATAAGAAATGCAAGTGCGTGATGGGTAGGAACGGGAAGTGTAAACCAGAGCGTGCTCCTCACGAAACTCTTCGCTCGACCATGAATACATCTTAACACTAACCGCAGGATCCATAGGCATAGTACTGGCCCATGGGTTAGCCAAGGACATGGGAAACATTTTCAAGCAAGAGACCCCAGAAGCATGTGTTAGATTGAAAATAGAACTATTCAACATTATACATAGATATATATATATATATATATATATATAATATGGCCGTCAGGAAAGTAGCAAGCATAAATTCAGACTTCTTTTGAAAAGCAAGAACTCGATTCCAATCATTAATGTATATTTTAGTGGGAGCACGCTTCATTGATGAAAATATTCCAACACATCGATTGTGATGTGAAGTATTCAGCATTGAGGGACGCATGGAGCACTCTGAGATGATCCTATAATTTTCAGACACGTAAAACTGTATGAAGGTGAATAAGCCCTATTCATTGAGCCTCTTGATGGGAAGAAACCTCTCAAATTTCCCCCTTTTTTTTGGGCCGTAAATATATAGGTTTTGTCATAAGATATTGAAAGAGGAAAGAAGTGGTCCACTCGTTGAGCCTTGGTCGGATCGGGATTAAACCTGAGCTTGATGCACCACACAAGAAAGAAGAAGATATAGCCAATAGCTCAATGGCTGGAGTAAAGAATACCTCAGGGAGGCACAAATGAAAATTTTGATTTTTCCCCCTCCTTTCCTTCCTTTTTTGACCAACAGGAAAATTCGAATCGGAGATCTTATTAAAGGGGACAAAATCTCTAAAAACATTTTAAGAGTTATACTCCTCCTGTCCTCAATATAAAACCCCTTTTATGCTATAATTTACACTACAAAAGGGGTCTTATATTTAGAACTGGAGAATAATAATTAGATATGGAACAAGGGCAGTAAGAGCCTAAAGAGGAGGTGATGACTGAGTGAGGGGTTTCTCAAATAGATTCCTAGAAAATTGATATTGATTAAATTTGATTAGATTAATTATATTAGATTTTGAATTCTTATTAAAATGTCTTTATAAAGCATTTTAATAAAAAAGCTGAAAAAAATTAATCTGCCATATAAAACATATTATTTTAGCCAAATAAAATTGATATAATTTAACCCTTGAGAGTTGGTTTGGCCAAATGAGCTAATTACTGAAGTGCCAAATTAAAATTCGACTTCCCATTGAAAAATATGTTTATTTTTAGTGGCCGACTTAAGCTCGATTAAGATTAATTGTATTTAATAGAAGGATAACTACTGCGAGTTATGAAAAAAATTGACATAATTTAATTACCTAGGACTAGATGTGTTATTATATATATTATATTTACAAAATGTGCGCCTTCATACAAAGATGAATATGCAATTTGGTTCAGCTAAAAGGTAGATGATGGCTCTTGAATATGCACCGGTATTTTTTTTTAATTGATGTAGATATTCTTTTGTTGGATAGAATCCCGTTTAAAGCACTATATGATGTCGCTTTCGGCAAGGATTCAAATGTCGGTATTTTATATTTTAAGGGCCCCTAAATGTATCAACGTTCTATTTAAATGTGAAAAATATTCTAACACTTAATTCAGTCTGATAAATACAACATTATGATAGCAATTTATTTAAGCTTTTTCCTTGCAACCTGAATTGGGATATCCAATTTTTATACAACCTAAACTGCAACCAAAAAATAAAAACTGGCATCCGATTCCAATTCAACGCCTAACATGTTAAAATGTTCAAATAAGAGTGAATAGGAATAAAATTAAGCTTCATAACAATAATAATAATACTACCTCCGGTCCTTAATATAAGACCTTGTTTGATTTGTATTTTGGTCCTAAATATAAGATCTCAATCGACTTTGTCTCTCATAATTTATGCATTTTTTTCAATGTAGTCCTCCTAACAATAATAGTTCTAGCCAGTATACTTGGTTAGCAAGAATATTTTAGGAAAGACAACACATATTTATTACAAATAACTAACTTAACTTCATTCTTTAATTTTTTCAAATTAGTCAACTAGCTTTTATAACTAGGACCGGAAGTAGTATATAATAAAGTTGAGTTGATGATGGTCTAATGGGTCTTCGTCTTCGCTGTTAAACTCTGAGCAAGGCCATTACTGCGTGTGAT